TCACATCTGATTACAGTCAAAAATAGGGTTCGGAGCCAAGATGTGGAGTGAACCTTTCCGATTCTAAAACCCTTGGCCAAAATTCAACACACTGAATAGGCATGGAAAAATTGCACTAATTCTTCTTAGAAACTGGTAATTAAAACATCACCTTTGCTTATGGCCTTTAACCAATGCATCTGAATAAATATCACATAGGTATTAATTGAATGTACTTATTTCTGGAAACGTTATGTAGGGGTTAACATTACATAGATGTAGTCTCACCTTATTCTATTTACTTACCACTAGCTTGAAATGTGATATAACAGACTTACAACATCAAATGTTACTAATGATATCAATGCTAGGGAATTCTACTGGCTTAGTCCATGTGGACTAAGTGTTGTTGATAACTCAAACACCATGCCTTTCTGGTAGCTCGAATCTACCAGCAGCTTCTTGGGAGAAAGATAGGCAATCTCTTTCCACATAACTTAGTCCCAGAAACACTGTGGAGGACCATTTACGAGTCAGGTGCAACTCGAAGGCAATGAGTTGAGTCGAATCAAAATATAGGACTAGAAAGACACTATATTTCGCAAATATAACTAATAAATATTATGCACAACCTGGTCACATTGCCAAAAAAAAATGCTTAATATAATGTCTTATTTTGGTGTAAAATTTTGTATAGAATTTCAAATGTTATAAAGCAGCTATTAGACGTGTTGTTGTTGCTGGTGTTGTTACGTGCCATTGAGTCAATGCAAGGAGACTCTATAACCAATAATCTAAATCTTGCCCTATCCTGTGCCATCCTTCTCATTTCTGATATACTTCATCCTTCTAGTCACTCTGTCAATCTGTCCTGTTGAGGGTCTGCCTCACTTTCACTTACCTTACACCTTCCCAAGCATAATGGCCCTTGTCAAGGACTGGCCTTTCTTCACAACATACTCGAAGTATGTGAGACGAAGTTTTACCATCCTAGTTGCACCCTAGTTGCACTTTATCCTCAACGTGTTTTTGGATTTTGGCAGTCCACGAGCTATCCAGTACCTTACTCCATCACAACTCAAAGACATTGATTCATTTCTGTCATCCTTTGACATTGTCCAACTTTCAGATGCATAGCAAGTAATTGAAAACACAATGGCTCTAATCAAGATCATTGTCGTTTTTAACTGTCATTGCTCCTTAACACTTGATATATAGGCCAGATGACAAGGCTTGTGAAACTTTATTATATTGCCAAAGATACATTCCATATTATTTCTCAGAACTACTACCTTCCTTGCAAGGAAAAAAAAAAATCATTGAGATATTTTGGTTTTCAGATGAAAAAGCAAATGATCATTGAGAAAATGAAATCCGTTCACACATAGTCGTGTTCCAACCCAACCTGTGTCTGGTCATATGCCTAGGTTCTAGTCACTACACCCACTGGCCTTCATGTCAGCATGGCTTGAATTTTTAACATGATTGGAACTATATTTGTCAACTTGTGATTGTCTATCCAATGAGAAGGGAGTTCTGGCGACCTAGCTGTTGGTGTCATGCTGCTGACACAGAGGTGAAGGGTCAACGTTTGGATCCAGTAGTGGCTCAGGGGGGCGAAAGACTGGCAATCTCTGCTGGTTCTCATTTTCAGAAATCCAGTGGAGGTTCACTATGAGTCAGCACCAATTCCACGGCTGTGAGTTTTAGTCTGAGCCAATAAGAGAAGCACACATGTTTTTTTTTTGGGAACCAGCAAATCAAGGGCACCTGGGATACAAGAAAATTCCAGCTATAATGAGTAATTTTATAATAAAAACTATTAGAACAAAGTTGTAAAATTTTAGCTCTCATATAAGTTTTGGGGCTTTGTTTTATTTAGTGATTTTTTTGGTTGTTTCTTTCTTTTTTAAAAAGTTTGATCCAATGAAGGATCAAATCTTGGAAGGTAAGCATCAAACTTTCCAGTCCTTAAGGTGCCAGGTGAACAGAGTTTTGCAATACACTTTAGTGTACTTTTACACAAATACTGCTGTGTGTTTGTACAGGTTTTTATAAACACATTAAAGGTTTCAAATATTTTGTAAAACATAATGTCCAAGAATATTTTCTAGAACATGCTTATGCATTCTTACCTTTTCAGAAAAGCATTTTCTCTCCAATCTTTTACAGCAATCTAGGCCCTAATGTCTCAGCTGCCGGGCAATCAGTTTATACCATAAATATACTCCTTTGGATAAACTGAAACAAGTATCTAAAAACTGGTTAGAATACTGTGCATCCCATTAAAAACAGTCTTGGCTTACCTGGCTTTTAGTAAGCTGTGGCATACCTAGCCTTCGTCCAAGACCCCATCCTCCCCACCCATCAAATATGCAGCAAATAAACGTGCATTAACATACAAGGTTTTGGGAAGAACATTTTATTGCTAAGCATATCCTTGAACGAAAATGCAAAGATGAAATAAAAGAGAAAAGGAAAAAGAAAAAGCAGTAACATCACAACATTATCAAAGAAATTCCTTAAGGGTCTGCTCATAAAACAACAGGAATGTGATCGAAAGCGTACATACAGGATGCACATGTTCTCATAAAATTGTCCAAATAGAAACTTACACTAAAAGGATCATAACAAATGTCTTTTTACTCAAATGAAAAAGGGGGAGGAAAAAAAAACTGTAAAGAAAGTAAACAGGAAATCAGTTCACAAGACCTCAAGACTCCAAAAACAGCAATCTGTTACAGACATCAAGATATAATCAACTTCATATAGGTTGGGCCATTTAGATGATCTAAAATCGTGCTTTGTTATCTCTTTATAATCCTGTCTCTTAGAACGACAACAGAAACAATTAAAAAAATAACTCTTAACACATTGAAATAGCAGATAATGAGGAACACCTCTTTCCATACACATTAGAAAATGCTACCATTGTTTAGATTGCGCTTTTGTCCCATGTCTTTAAGATAGTTTTTCAAAGTCAAATATTCATGCAACTTACAAAGACCAGCAAGAGTAGATTTCTAAATCTAAACAGCTGATTGATTTTCATCTGTACAAAAGAAATAGTATATATCTGACCCTCCGGAGGACATACTCCATTTTCGTGTGAATATTTGTCTGGCTTTTTCTTATTCTTTTTAGTCAGCTATGGCCACACAACCAGTTTATGGTCTTTTTTATTTTATTTTATTTTCTGTACATTGTTTCCTCTTTTCCAAAAAAGAAAGACAACTGGAATATAAACCCAACAAACTGAGAGAAACAGAGAAAGAACAGTTCTCAAAGCAGTATGTACATAGGTGGCTAAAGAATTATACCAGCAAAAATGTAGTAAAATATGTAAACAAAATCTGAGAAGATTTTTTTTTATTTCTCTTTGACACAGTTAACTGTGACAAAACTAAAACTCACACTTTCTTCACATTGTAAGGTTTGCTTTTTTGTTTTGTCATTTCCTTTTAAAACAACATTCGCATTCCACTTCAAGACTTTAACAGATTTCCTGTTTCAGTCACCCCATCAAACATACCACGATAAATATATCTGTATATATATTTATTTATTTATATATATATTATACTATTAAATTCCTTTTGTGTGTGTGTGTGTCACAGCAGCTTTATTCATTTATTGAATTCTTGAATTATTTTTTTTTTGTTTTTTATAAAAGATGGGTGAAGGGCGACGTGAGCAAATGGAAGGATAGAATGACCCCTTAGTGTCGGTCAGGCGACAAAATCAAAACACTATGAAAACACTGTCATGTTCGGGGCAGGGAAGAACTATGCATTTTGCACTCCTCTCATGGCGTGCTTGGCTTGTGTGACCTTTTGTGATTCCATCACAAGTTGAATTCCTGTATTGTCTGGTTTGATGACTGAACAGGCTTTTAATTGCCATCGTTTTTTCTGGAATATTTGCATGCACTTTAATCAGTCACAGATCCAGCTCGCCCCCACCCCTACCACTACTGCAGGAAAGGCCCTGATCTGGTTTATGGGTCTCTCCATTTTACCACACTTCCGCTGGGCTAATGAACAGGAACGATACTGAGAAAGAAAGCCACTAGTCCTGGTAAAACCATCCCCGAAGCTATCTGCTCAGGGTTTGGGCAGCAAATTCTGGATTTAAACCCTGGGGGATCAGCTTTTCCAAACGACATTGTTATCCATCACATGATTTCTGCTATGTGTTCAGCAAAGCATCTTATAGGAAACAAACAACAGAGTCTACAGACACCACAACCTGATATGTAGAAGGGACATGGTAACTTTTGAGTCCATATATGGCAATAGTCTCTCTCATTTTTATTTTCTGAGGGTTTTTTTTTTCTTCTTATGTCCAGTCATTCTCAAAAAATAAATGAAAACCCAAAAGCCAGTTTCCCCTTAGATCTTGAAAAGTTACACACACACTGGTCAGTACCAGATAAGGGGATCTGTTTGTATGTTTTTTGTGGATTGTTTTGTTTTGGTTTTTTTTTTTTTTAACACTTTTTTCTTTTTTTTTTTTTAAACATAATTAAACTGAAAATAAAAGACATAGTTACAGTCAAGCTTCACAACATCATTACAGACTCACTTGGCGTTTATGGAACAAGTAAGCCATAAAGTCTTCTACCTTTTTGTCCAAAGGTCTTCGGAAGAGTGAAGGAAGCTTCCAGGTTGCTAACTCGATCGAGCCATCCGCTCTGCACGCAGAGGGCTCGGCGTGTGCTTTTATAATACAGCAGGGCAGAAAGAAAGATTGGCTTTCTGTCTCCGAACGACGACTGAAACGCAGCAGCCAGGGCTGCAGGTCAGAGATAGGTACACGCTTGGTGTGTGTCCTTTTGAGAAATGCGGTTGCGTTATGTTTTTGTTGGTTTGTTGTTTTTTTTTTTGTTTCCCACCATAGTTATGGTCCACACCCCGTCTCGTGGTTGTAACAGTTTTGACGTCCCATCTCCTTTGCAAAGTTGTTACTTGGATAAATCGCTCTGCGGTTTCCAGTGCGCGCAGGGGCGGCGGGCGTGGCCGCTACACGTAGTACTCCTTGTCCTTGTTTTTCTGTTTCTTGTGGCCGCTCTTGGAGCTCTGCTGCTTCTCCTTGAGGAGCGTGCCGTTGCTCTGGGCCGAGTTGCTGATGTAGTTCCGCGTCTCGTCCACTTGATAGGACCCCTCGTCCCTGTTCCTGTACTTGTACATGGCGTACAGGAGGATCAAGATGCAGAGGGCGGCAGCAGCCACAATGCCGACGACCATCCCTGTTGTGCTGCTCGACTCCCGGATCACCTCTGAGGCCCCCGGGACCCGTCTGATTCCCGGCTCCGTGGGGTTTGCTGTGGGCACATTACGGAACATGGGGGAAGTAATTAGTGGGCTCTTCAGTTTGGTGCTGTCTAGCTCATAGGCAGTGGGCAACGGGAGCAGGACTATATCAGGCTGGGGTTTGAGATCACGGTTATTCATTTTGCCAGCTGGCAATTTGGGCACCATCCCAGACGAGGAGGAAGCTGTGAAGCGGATCAGCTCAGGGGACAAAGATGTGGTAGTAGTCCTACTAGTTTCGGAGACTTTGTTAGGTCTAAAGTCCTTGGATTCCCACTTGGGCGCATGTGCTTTGTAGCCACCTTCGAAGATTGAAGTGGAAAGACTCTTATCTGTTACCAAGGAGAAGGTGGTGTAAAAATCTTCATCATCGGTAGGGGGCAGGTTAGAGTCAAAGGTTTCCCCTGAGCCATACCCAGATATCACCAAGCCATCATCATCACAACCATCGCTGCCTTGGTCCGACAAGCAAGGTAACCCCGCCTCAGAGGTCATGGACAGGGAATCTTTGGTGGTCTCAATAATGGTGAGGAGGGGGCGGAAGGTAGGGGGGAGCGTAATGGAGGGTGCACGAGTAGCAATAGGAGGGGTAGCTAGAGGGTCTTCTACAAGAAGAGGGAGAACTAATTCACCTCCTGGGATTGAAAAGAAAAAGAAAGACACAATTAGTACATTGGCAAATATAATTCACAGTAATGCTCAGTGAATGCAGCTCGTAGGCTGGACCTCAAATTACCACTGATTGACCCCAGAAGGGAAGCTGGTTTCCAGCCCATAACATGCCTCTTGCCACCAAAATTCGGAAATCTTTTGACTGGGGACTTGGATACTCTCAAGTAATTATTTAATAGAATTCAAATATACCATTTCCAGGATTAGTTTATTGGGTTTAGTTAATTTCTCTTGTATCAAATTCTGATTGGCTACCAGTATTTGGGCGTATGTGTACGTGTGTGTATGTGTATGTGTGTATACACGCACCTATACATTCACAAGTGTATATTTTTAAGCTCTAACACATCTGTCTTGTCTTCCTGGGTTTCTACTATCCTATAGAACATAAGAATGATATTCTGTCTTTGCCCCTGAGACCAAAATCAAAGATCATAAAATACTATCTTCTTGGTTGCTAGTAAGTTGCTAACTTTTTGTTTTGTATTTATTAATTGCTTCATTCCATTTCTGTAAGCTAAATAAATGGGACCAGCAAAAGGCTAAAGTTGTTAATGTTTCAATTAAGTCCCTGGACTCTCAAATGGCCACTCTTTTTGCATTGTTCTGGTAAGAAACTGAGTTGCAATTCCAAAGGCACAGTGTTCAAATTTGCCAGTTATTCTGCAGAAGAAGGATGGGCAACCTCTTCTTATGTGACTCACTGCCTCTGAGAACCCACTGGAGGGTCAGCTATGGGTCAGCTTCCACTAAATGGCACGCAACAACATTTGCTTTGGGAGCTCTGGTGGCTTAGTGGGAATGAGTTGGGCTGCCTACCTCAGGACACATGGTTTGAATCCACCAGCTGCTCCATGAGAGAAGGAGGGACAATCTCCTTCCACATGATTTACTGCATCTGAAAACTCACTGGAGGGTCAGCTATGGGTTGGTTCTGATCAGATGGTACATAGCAACATATTGCTTTTATGATACATATTTGGTGAGAGGGAACCTACATTTTTAAAATACCCAGCTTAGATATCCTTGATATCTTGCTGTAAACTTGCTTTTACACTCAGAAATGTAGAGGTAGCAAAAAAGTTGTTTAAATCAGTGACTTTTTACTAGGGTGGAAAAAAGACATTGATTTCCCTTAATATGAAAGTGTACTTACTATAAATGTGTGAATTGAGTTGACAAAAGCTCAGAATTTCTTATTAGTGAGAGTTCTTACAAATTATGAATATCCAAAATAGTCTAATGTGAGTCTTGTTCACCTAATAAGGTGTTTGTTGAGTGTGTGTGTCGGTGGGGGAGCGGGGTCACTGTTGAACTTATTGCCCACTAAAATCTGTCTTTCATGTCTTGGCAATGTTATTTTTCAAAGGAAGAATCTCAATAAGTTATAATTCCTGTATTTTTACTAAATTTATCCCAGAAATGTGTGTGTGTGTGTGTGTGTGTGTGTGTATTTATTTATGTATTTCCAACTATTATTTTCCCAAATCTTCTAGCAGGGATATCATGGTATTTAACTGTCCCAGTAAATCAGCAAGTTGAATGAATGACATCCAGTTATTGATCTGGGCCTCATTCTGAGCTGGGTACCAGACACTCATGTGCAACCAAATGTGATACCCTTCAGCATTCTGCCCTTGGAAATAAAGTCAGCCATGCTAGGAGGGTCAGTATCTGAGCATCTGTTAACAGACATGTCTCCCTTAGGTGCCTCACTGTCTACAGCAAAGCCAGGTATGTGGTTTAATCATCCTTAGCCGAGCAATAGAGGGTCAACAGGAAGAGGCAGGCCCTCAAAGAGATAGACTGGCACGGAGATAGCAACCACGGGTTCAAGCACAATAGAGATTGTGAGGATGGCCACAGGACTGGACAGAAGATTGTTCTGTTGTCCCTAAAGTTGCGAGGAGTTGGAGTTAACAAAATGGTACCTAACAGCAACCACAACCATAAATCTATAGGGTAAATGGACAAGCCTTTGAACTTAAAATAGTGTTCGAGGGTTTCTACAAAGACTGACTTGCATTCTGATGTGGAATTAGAACACATTCTCAGCTTTCTATACCTGATATCTTCAGATATGTCATCGAGAATTGTAGTGTCTAAACTGTCAAAGTTCCATGTGTAGAAAGAGAAGGGCCTTCTGAGGAGAAAGCTACAGCAGAGCCTCAAAGCCTCCAGGTTAGACTAGCTTGCACCCAAGTCAGAGGCCATTATTTCCTATGTAGCCAGTAATCTGGTGTCACACATGTGTTGCTGTGTGCCATCGAGTCAGAACTACTCATCGCTGACACTCTAGCATGTTTTCAAAAGAATAAATCACGTGGGAGGAGACTGCCCGTCCTTCTCTGAGGAGCAGCTGGTGGATTGGAACCACGTGTCTTTGGGATTGCAATGCAGCTTCTTACACACTAGTGAATTGGGACAAAGGCTAAAATACTCACACACACACACATCTTTCAAAAGAGAAAGGACAGCAGAATATCACACTAAAGCTCCGTGGTCCACCTGCTAGCTTGATCATATGTGAGGCAATAACACAAGGACCTTTCTGAGAACCTTGATGGCCTTTTTTGCTTGTGCTCTAAACCCAAGCTGCTGCTCTGGTGCTCAGACTTGGACCCTATTGAGCAAAATGATCTTTGTACGTTTGCCAAAGCTGCAGACTTACTTTCCTTGGCCAACTTGCTTATTTTTTTACATTGTGGACATATATAATTCATATACCTTGCAACTTACTTAATGCATAATTTACACACTTTTGCTAGTTTTTATAAATGGGATTTGGAGCATAGTTCCCAAAAGGTAAGTGAGTCCTAAAACTATCTCACCCTGAGCCAACTTTTCTTCTTACTCTTCTAGTAGGAGGGAGGGTAGGTGGTTTATGTCAGCTGATAGATGGCACTGGGCAGGTTTAGAATAAGAGAGGTCCAGGGATGAAAGAGGAAAACCAGAGACCCTCACAACCTGTAGGTATTGCTCAGGAATTATTTCACTTTGCTTAAGGGAACAAAACAGGAGTTTTTATCCGGTTTATACTAGAACAAAGGCTTAGCATGTATGTTCTTTCCCAGCACAAATACCAGAGTCACTTGTGTTTTGTGTGTGTGTGGTTTTTTTGTTGTTGTTGTTTTGTTGTTTTTTTTTTATGGCAGTGACAAAAATCTACCATATAGAGAAAGCAGAAAGGAAACAGGGATAAAGGACAAAGGATAACGGATTTAGGAGGCAAACGGATACAGGAGGCAAAGGCCTGTACAAATAATTTAAATATAAAGGCAAGCAGTTGGGGAAGATGCTGCAGTCCTTTCAGTGTGATTAAGATCACTCTGTTCATGATTACAGAGGGGCATTCATTTGCAATTTTAGCGAACCATCTGTGACATCCAACTGGAGTCTTAAATGTGCCTGCTCTTCCTTGTTTTGTTTTTGACTTTTTTTTTCTTAAATCCTAACCAAAGCTTCTGTAGTGTTTTGTTATTAAAAATCTAGATCTTACAAATTGCTCACTCTGCAGCCAAAGCCCTCCTCCTCCTTTGCATTATTTCCTTCTCATTCAATGTGCTAATATAAGCATGTCTCTAGGATTTTTTTTTAAATCTGCCTTTTCATAATGGGATGAGAAGAGGGTCCTGCAGCTCACTAATTTACAAAGGGCCCTGAAAGGTTGGTAAGCCCTTAAGTGATATGATAAGAGCTCATTTCAAAACGAAAATGATGGGTATACTATTGCGGAATTTAAATAACCTACTCTGTCAAAACTATTCATCTTAAGTTTTCTTTGCCATTTTGTTATTAATCCTGGTAGCAGTAATAAAAATGATAAGTAATGCCCTTTGTCAAGAAAACTGAGCCCACATTCTGTTGGGATTGAATCATTGAAATGAGAGTAGTTTTCACAAGCCTGTCTTTCTGGAACTGGAGAGGACTTTCAGTTGAAAAGAAGGAATTCCACTGGAATGCAGGAACCATTGACAAACAAGAATGATCGTGAATTGAGACAAAAAATTTTAAATAATCATAAACAGGAAAGCTTCTTGGGATAAATGCAGGAATTGGCTTGTATCATCAATTTTAATATATAATTTTCATATCAAATCCACCTTTAACATTTAAGATCAAGTGTACTAGAGAGTTCAAAGTCACACATCATTTGAGATGGGAATACTATTTCTCTCATGCTAAAATCTTTAGTAGAAATATCTTCATTAGTGGTGCGAGGCTATGAAAAACTTTATCTGTTTTAATCTAGGCTGCCTGCTCTTTGAGATAGTGGAGCAGCTAGTAGTAATAATTGTATCTACATCTCTACATGGTGGTTTAGTGGCAAAGAACTGTGCTGCCAACACAAAGATGCATGGTTTGAGTCCGTCTCCTCTGCAGGAGAAAGATGGGCAATCTCCTCCCATGTAATTTACAGCCTCTGAAAACCTGCTGAGGTTCAGCTATGGGTCAGTTCCAACTCAGCACTATACTGCAACAACAACACATATGCATATATATTTCTATTTTACCATACAAAAGCTATGGAGTCAGCGGTCAACCAGAGGTCAAAATCCACCAGGGCATCTGTACAAGAGACTAACTACATTACTATCACAACGGGATAACAGATAAAGTGATACAAAAATCTGATATTCATTAAAACCTTAATTCTTTTGCCATTCTCAGATTATTTTTTTTCTAAATTTGGTTTGGAATAAACAGCCTCTATATCCTTTAAAGTGAACATTTTAAATTGGGAGTATATATTTTTGTTTCAGTTTGGTTTGGATTATTATTGTTGTGGGTTTTTTTTAAAAATTAAAAACAAACAAACAAGAAAAAACCCAAAACAAACAGGGCTGTGCTTTTTTTTAAACTAGAGAGAGCACCAGGGATATAGAAAGTCTATTTTAGCCCTGAAGGCTGCCCTGCTTTTTTTGCTTTATGAGTGTATTTATAGATATATAATTCATGCCTC